GAGGGCCGAGGCAAGGTGGATCACTTAGAGGGATCAGGAGTTCATACTAGCGTGGCCAAACATGGTGAAACCTGTCTTTCTAAAAATACAAGAAAAAATTAGCTGGGCATGATGGTGGGTGGCCTGTAATCCCAATTACTTGGGGAGGCTGAGGCATGAGAATCACTTGAAGCAGGAGTCGGAGGTTGCACGTGAGCCGAGATCCGTGCCACTGCCACCCAGCCCTGGGCGACAGAGTAAGGACTCTGTCTCCAAAAAAAAAAGTAACTTACTAAACATAATGAAATATTATTTTCGCATTCCGAATGCAAGTTGAATTTGTAATGTCTTCTTTCAGGATCCACTGAAAGATGGGTGAGGGCAAAGATCAAAAGCGACTATGCACACTTCTTGAAGATATGCGCAGAATGCATTCCGTAGCCTTGAAGATTAGAAGCCTTGAAGATTAGAACTGTGATTTTCTCCCAAAGTGCTGGGATTACAGGTGTGAGCCACTGTACCTGGCCCAAGTTACTTGTATTTTATATATTTTGAGTAGTAGGTGGTAAACCACGGGCAGGAGATAAAACTATACTCATTTTCCCTTTTTCTTAAGGATACAAATCCAACCAAACAGAAAGAAAACAAAATTTAAATTTTGCATTTTGCCTGATCACCACATTCAGCGACCAAAGGCTTTATCCTCAACAATGTGTACAATAGTGGGAAATTATGCCACTTCATATATTAGATGAATATGACTTAATGCACGATAATTAGGAATTTAATCAAAACAGAATTTGCTCAACATCTGGTATCATACTGGGATGGAAAAGTAAAATTTAGGAAATAATGTTAAAATGCACCATTATTTAAAATCCTTATGAAAAGCAACTTACTAATATGTATAAATGACAGGAGAATCGCTTGAACCCGGGAGGCTGAGGTTGCAGTGAGCCAAGATCGTGCCATTGCACCCCAGCCTGGGCAACAAGAGTGAAACTCTGTCTCAAAAAAAATAAAATAAATAAAAAATAAAAATAAAAAGAGCATAGTTCCCAATAGTTTCTCACAAATATTCCTGATTTATAGTGGGGGAAGCGATGTATAATTGGAACATTAATCATTATGTTTTTGAAAATTAAATATTTCCTGCAAAGCAATTCCTCTGCAAAATGCTAAGCTGCCAATGAGCTTACCACAATAGATATTGAGTCATTTCACAAAGTACCTGTTCAAAAGTTATAGAAACCTGGCCTTCCATTCCAAATTCACTGCAAAGAGAGTACATGCAGTAGTCCTGTTTACAATTTAATAGAGATAAGGGCACACCTAGGACAAAGAGGGTCATCACCCTACATACAAGTTTACAGTAGTGTAACCATAATATATATTTACTACATTCACCACTTCAGATAGAGGAAGAGGGAGGCCCTTCACAACACTAGAACAAAGGAATGTTAGTTTTATATAAGACCTACCAAAAAAACAGGGAAACAAATAACACACATAGGCACTAGTCTCAAAGCTGCACATTAAAGAAGCAAAGGGTTTGAGATGAGAAATTCAGGAAAATATACACATAGGAGCTTGTTGAGGAAAAGGAAATCACAGTTCTAATCTTCAAGGCTTCTAATCTTCAAGGCTACGGAATGCATTCTGCATATCTTCAAGAAGTTGTGCATAGCCGCTTTTGATCTTTGCCTCACCATCTTTCAGTGGATCCTAAAGAAGACATTACAAATTCAACTGCATTCGGAAAATAATTTCATTATGTTTAGTAAGTTACTTTTTTTTTTGGAGACAAGAGTCTTACTCTGTCGCCCAGGCTGGAGTGCATGGGCACGGATCTCGGCCTCACTGCAACCTCCGACTCCTGGCTTTTCAAGTGATTCTCATGCCTCAGCCTCCCAAGTAATTGGGATTTACAGGCACCACCATCATGCCCAGCTTAATCTTTTTTCCTTTATTTTTAGTAAGACACGGTTTCACCATGTTTGGCCACACGCTTTAGTATTGAACGTCCTGACCCTCAAGTGATCCACTTGCCCTCGGCTTCCCAAAGTGGCTGGGATTTTGACAGGTTGTGAGCCAGCTGTACCTGGCCCAATTACTTGTATTTATTATTATATTTGAAGTAGTAGGTGGTAAACCACGGGCAGGAGATTAAAACTAATACTCATTTCCTGTTTCTTAAGGGATAATAACAAATCAACCAAACAGAAAGAAAGACAAAAAACTTTAAATTTTGGCATTTGCCTGATTCACCAACATCAGCGACCAAAGCTTTATCCTCAACAATGTGTACAATAGTGGGAAATTATGCCACTTCATATATTAGATTGAATATGACTTAATGCCACGATAATTAGGAATTTAATCAAACAGAATTTGCTCAACATCTGGTATCATAACTGGGAGGAAAAGTAAATTTTAGGAAATAAATGTTAACAATGCACCATTATTTAAAATCCCTATGAAAAAGCAACTTACTAATATCGTATAATGAGACTTAACAAGCTTGGTGCCTCACCGCCTGAATCCCAGCACTTTAGGGGGACTGAGATGGGCAGATCACTAGGTCGGGAGATCGAGACCATCCTGGCCAACATGGTGAAACCCCGTCCTACTAAAAATACAAAAAAAATTAGCCGGGCATGGTGGCGTGCGCCTATAAGTCCCAGCTATTTGGGAGGCTGAGGCAGGAGACTCACTTGAACCCAGCGACAGGTGGAGGTTGCAGTGAGCTGAAATCGCACCACTGCACTCCAGGCCTAGTGACAGAGTGAGACTCCGTCTCAAAAAAAAAAAAAAGACTTTAAAATGTTCCAGTTCTCTAACCCAATAATTCCCACTTCTGGGACTCTATACTAAGAAAATGCACAAAACCAACTACCATACAACTACATGGTCGTCACCACACATAACGGGAAATTTTATTTTCTTTTTTTTTTTGAGAACAGAAGTTTTTTGCTCTTGTTGCCCGCAGGCATGGGAGTGGGCGTGATCTTGGCTCATCGCAACTTGCACCTCCCGGGTTTAAGTGATTCTCCTGCCTCAGCCTCCTGAGTAGCTGGGATTATAGGCATGCACCACCACGCTTGGCTAATTTTGTATTTTTAGTAGAGACGGGGTTTCTCCATGTTGGTCAGGCTAGTCTAGAACTTCTGACCTCAGGTGATCCATCCTAAAGTGCTGGGATTACAGATGTCAGCTGCCACGCCCGGCCAATAACTGGGAATTTTCTAAGTGTCTATGAATAGAAAAATATTACTGTCCAGCCACAAAACAATGCTACAGAAGAGTAATGACATTAAAAAATACCTGTGATGTTAATTTGACACAATAAGCATGTAAATAGAAATTATTACTACATACTTCCTATGAATATATAGTTTTTTAAGACAATATTTGGATCAAGTTACATTTGGAAGTTTTTTCACTCTGTGACATAAGTATTTCTCCATGTGTTTGAATATTTTTGACCAAAATGGTAATGCCTTCATAATATCTATCTTATGGACACACCATAATGTACTGTTGGCTCTGTTCATTCTTGGGTGACATTTAAGAAATTTGGCTTAGTGTAGTGGCTCATGCCTGTAATCCCAGCGCTTTGGGAGGCCGAGGCAGACAGATCACCTGAGGTCAGGAGTTCGAGACCAGCCTGGCCAACATAGAGAAACCCCCGTCTCTATTAAAAATACAAAAATTTGCCGGGTGTAGTGAATGCACGTGTAATCCCAGCTACTTGGGAGCCTGAGGCAGGGAGAATTGCTTGAACCTGGGAGATGGAGGTTGCTGTGAGCCAAGATCGTACCACTGCACTCCAGCCTGGACAACAGAGCAAGACTCCATCTCAAAAAGAAAAAAAATAAAAGAAATTTAATAAACAATCTTGTATATCCATATCAAAATTCTGGTTACTTCCTTCGTTTTATGTATCTCAAGGTGAAATGACAAGACTAAAAAGGTGTAAATGTTTTTAAATTCTCAATATAGTGATTATTTGTACAGGTTTACTTTCAATCTATAGTGTAAACACACACACAAAATGTATGTACTATCTTAAAATTTTTATATTACATATACACTCAGAGAATCATTCTCAGTAGATGGTTAGTAAATATGCCTGGATGTCATGACAGAAATAAATACAATTCAACTGATCAAATATTTTAAAAACAATCTTATACATTTGAGTTCCTACTAATAATTTCATTTAATTATCTATTTTTATCTTGTGTATTTCCAAAAGAACAAGAGGCTACTTAAAAGTTAAAAAACAGCCAGGCATGGTGGCTTATGCCTGTAATCCCAGCACTTTGGGAGGCTGAGGAGGGCGGATCACATGAGGTCAGGAGTTCGAGACCAGCCTGGACAACATGGTGAAACCCTGTCTCTTCTAAAAATACAAAAATTAGCCGGGCGTGGTGGCAGGCATCTGTAATCCCAGCTACTTGGGAGGCTGAGTCAGGAGAATCGCTTGAACCCAGGAGGTGGAGGTTGCAGTGAGCCGAGATCATGCCACTGTATTCCAGCCTGGGTGATAGAGCAAGACTCTGTCTCAAAAAAGAAAAAAAAAAAAAAGAGTTAAAAAAGGATGTGCAGTACATGATATTTAAAAGAAGTAAACAGAGATGTCATTTCAGAAGAACATGTGGGCTAGAGGTTAATAAGCACTTGGAGTAAGGTAATTGTTGCTCATCTATGAAGCAAGCTCTAATTTGCCTGGCAGCTAAGACAAAAAGGAATACACATCAGCATTTATTTTAGACGTGATATAATTTTTTTTTTTTTTTTTTTTGAGACTGGGTCTCACTCTGTCACCCAGGCTACAGAGTAGTGGTGCGATCATGGCACACTGCAGCCTTGACCTCAGCCTTCCAGGTAGCTGAGACTACAGGTGTGTGCCCCACACCTGGCTAATCTTTTGTATTTTTTGTAAAGACAGGATTTCGACATGTTGCCCAGGCTGGCTTGAACTCCTGGGCTCCAGTCATCCTCTTGCCTCAGCCTTTGAAAGTGCTGGGATTACAGGCATGAGAACCACTGTGCCTGGCTGATATACTAATTTTTATCATTAGAATTCCTATTTGAACATAACTTTGAGGCCTCTACTGGTTTTACAAAACCTGAACATGTGTGAAAATAACTGCAAGTTTTATAGCCCAGGTTTGGGCTCAAAATAGCTAGAAAAATTAAAAAGAAGCATTGCACTTTGGGAGGCCGAGGTGGGCGGATCACGAGGTCAAACGATCGAGACCATTCTGGCCAACGTGGTGAAACCCTGTCTCTACTAAAAAAAATCCAAAAATTAGCTGGGTGTCGTGGCACGTGCCTGTAGTCCCAGCTATTCGGGAAGGTTGAGGCAGGAGAATCGTTTGAACCCAGGAGGCAGAGGCTGCAGTGAGACAAGATCATGCCACTGCACTCCAGCCTGGCAACAGAGCGAGACTCTGTCTAAAAAAAAAAAAAAAGAGAGAGAGAGAAAAAAAGAAGCATTTTCAAATAAAAAATGTTACAGCAGAAACAAAATATACCTTGAATTTCATGGAGGAAAGTTTATAGAGGATGTCTCCCATGTGTTCACGAATAATGGACCATGTGATTTTATTGTCACTCTGGGCAGTGGTTTCAACAGCTCTACGAGCCATATCATAAAATGCAATCATGTTGGACAGCATCCCTACTGTCTTGTAGAATGGGCAGAACCTAGAATAAATGACGGTCAAAAAAATTAACAAAAATAAATTCCAAAACAGGTTCATAAAACTACTAGAGCATTCGTTTCTTTATCTAAGTATGCAGATTGCTTACTTATTAGACGATACATAAGGAATAAAAAAATAATAGTGAAAAGACCAACAGCTGCTTAACCAGAGTTTTTGGACAGAGATGTCTCAGGATATGGGATAGAAGAAGATATATATTCTTTTATTTATTTTAAGGGTAAATTTTACTTTTCTTTGTTAAAATCATCAAGTTGGAAAACAATGAAACAGTATTGCTATAATCTAATGACTCTCTGAGGGTTTGTTTTTGTACAATGCAGTTAAATAAGTAACACAAATGGTAAAATAACTGAGTTGTAAAGACTCCCTTGTGATAGTGGATTAGGTTTAATGAGTAATAAGAAAGCAGGAAATTGCAAGTTCCTAAAGTTAGTAGTAGCCCCTTTTTTCTTAATGTGTTCATTTTCATTTGCCAATACTTTTTAAATAACAGACACAAGAACAAATACTCAATTGCAGTCACATACATTCTTACAACTTTTGGACATTTTTAAACACATTTGCGTACATAATTTCATGCATACTCCTATTACACCTTTTCCAAAGAATTTTTCCCTTGTTATCTTTGTGTAGGTGGTTCCTAGAAGCTTCATAAGTTCCCAACAGAGCAAATTTCTGGGGCTTACTGATAAACTGGCATATTTACTGCTTGCCCTACATTCCGGTAATCCTTCTATTGGCTCAGTTCCTTCTTCAGTCTTATATGGGGCCAAATATGATTTAAGGGAGAAAAGATAATCTGGCATGAAAGGGCTAAATTCTCAAAGTTGAAAAGAAATGAGAACTTTAAACAAGCCTCAGTAGTAGCATTGATAATGATGGAAAAAAGAAAGCACTGAGTAGGAGTTGGAGTGCTCTAACAGAGACCTTGGTAGAAAGCAAGCAATAGGACTCTTGGGAAATGAGGCATGAAAGCAGAACTATTAATTATTTAGGAAAAGAGTAATAATTATTTAGGAAAAGAGTAAAAGAAGCCAGGCATGTTGGCTCATGCCTGTGAGTCCCAACACTTTGGGAGGCCGAGGTGGGTGGATTGCTTGAGCCCAGGAGTTGGAGACCAGCCTGGGCAACATGGCAAAACTCAGTCTCTACCAAAAAAAAAAAAAAAAAAAAATTAGCTGGGCATGGTGGTGGGCACCTGCAGTTCTAGCTACTCAGGAGGCTGAGGTGAGAGAACTGTCAGGAGGTTGAGGCTGCAGTAGCTGAGATTGCGCTACTGCACTCTAGTTTGGGTGACAGAGTGAGATCCTGTCTCAAAACAACAACAACGTACGAGAGTAAAGGAGACATGGGCAGTGGAAAGAAACGAAGAAGGCTTCTGCACTAAGCCACAATTAAATCTAACTATAGATGAACGTATGAGTGAAAATACTGTCGTAATTGGACAAATGAGCAAATCAAGATAGGGGACATATTAGATCATTAGATGTCTACTACGAATATACAAATAAACCAATCTACTAAATCAGAGTGTATGAGCCTGTATGAGAATAAAAAAAGGTTTTTATGTGTACCCCTTCATCAAAACACAATAGAAAATCCTCAAATAAAAAAAGGAAATCAATATAGCTTACCTGTCATAAGGAGTATATCCATTTTGTTGTAGGAAATCATCTTTGATAAGTTTTGCTACCTCCAGAGTGATTTTATCTGTTTCTGCCAAAGAAGCCTAGAAGAGAAAAAGATATTTTTAGACATTTACTCTAAAATGTAAGATCGATGGTGGCAATTAATTAACAAGCAGAAACTATATAATCCACAATCACCTATTGTTAATAAATTTACTTATAACTGCTTTTTGATTGCTGTTCTTTTTAAACTGTGGTTAAAAAGCATATAACATAAAATTTACCATCTTTGCCGCTCTTAATTATATAGCGCAGTAGTGTTATATATACTCACATTACTGTGAAACAGATTTCTAGGGCTTTTCCATGTTGTAAGTCTGAAACATTACATCCAATGAACAGTAACTCTCCTTTCTCTCCTACCCCAGCCCCGGTAACCACTATTCTACTTTCTGTTTCTATGAATTTGACTATTTTAAATACCTCATAAAAATGAAATCATACAATGTTTGTCCTTTTGTGACCAGCTTATTTCACTTAGCATAATGCCCTCAGAGTTCATCTGTACTGAGGCATGTGACAGGATCTCTTTCTTTTTTAAGGCTGAATAATATCTCATTTTATATATATATACACACACACACATATATATATATATATATATCACATTTTGTTTATGGATTCATCCATAGATGGGCATTTGGGTTGCTTCCACTTCCTGGCTATTGTGAACAGTGCTGCTAAGAACATGGGTCCGGGTGCAGTGGCTAACACCTGTAATCCCAGCACTTTGGGAGGCCGAGGCATGAAGATTGCTTGAGTTCAGGAGTGCGAGACCAGCTTGGGCAACATGGTGAAAACCTGTCTCTACAAAAAATACAAAAATTAGCCAGGTGTGGTGGCATGCGCCTGTAGACACAGCTACTTGGGAGGCTGGGGTGGGAAGATTGCTTGAGCCTGGGAGGCAGATGGAGGTTGCAGTGAGCTGAGATCGTGCCACTGCACTCCAGCCTGGGTGATAGAGCGAGAACTTGTCTCACACACACACACAAAAATCCCAAACAAACATGGGTGGCAAAAAGCTTGCTGTTCTTCGCCGGACGCTGTGGTTCACACCTGTAATCCCAGCACTTTGGGAGGCCAAGGTGGGCAGATCACAAGGTCAAGAGATCGAGACCATCCTGGAAAACATGGGGAAATCCCATCTCTACTAAAAATACAAAAATTAGCCAGGTGCGGTAGCGCACGCCTGTAGTCCCAGCTACTCGAGGGGGCTGAGGCAGGAGAATCCCTTGAACTTGGGAGGCGGAGGTTGCAGTGAGCCGAGATCGCGCCACTGCACTCCAGCCTGGTGACAGTGCGAGACTCCCTCTCAAAAATACATATACATACATACATACATACATACACACACACATAAGCTTGATATTCTTTTCTTGAAATACCGCTTCACATCTTGGCTTGCTATCTTAATTATTTGTATTCTCAGTCTTAAGTTTGTTTAATAAAAAACTATATAGCTCATAAATAGTTGAATTTTAAAAACATTACAAAGTATTTAGAACTATGAAGTACAGTAAGTATGTACTATTCTATGTCTGAGTGCTATTTTACTAGTATAGCTAAGTTACAGAGCTTCATCCTTTAAATATCACTACCTCAAAAGCCCTAACTTTTACAATCGCCGTAGCAGCCTTAAGAGATAATATCAGTGTTGCTGGGATCACTAACAGGTAAAGATTTCTTGGGAGTGGAAAATGGACAAGCCCAATGAGTTAACTACATTCTTTCATTATTTATGCATGCTAAGCTCCTTAGGTAAGGATCAGGTCTCCAGTTTGTTTTTGTAAATCCGTTTTATCCGTAGTCCTCTTCAACCACAGGTAAATATTAAACAATGTTTTATGTGCATTCTTTTATTTGTATAAATTCATGTACAATGTGTATTCTATTTTGTGCAAGTGTCTTTAATTATGTAAAATATTCTTACTTGTGTCTTTGGTTTGGTACTTTGTTTCGATCCACCCATGCTGCTGTGCCACATGGTCTGCAGCTTCCAGCTCTCATATATTTCATCCTCTGTGGTGTGCACCCTCCCTATTTTACCTTCCATCTTTTGCTCACAGTAGAGGACATTCAGATTTCTTCTATTTCCCCACCACCACAAACATCCACTTAAGGACCTGTTTGAGAATTTCTTTGGGGATAAATATCCAGAAACAGAATTGCTAGGTCCCAGGGTATGTAAGTCAGTCCTATCAGACTGGTCTCCACAATGGCAGCACCAGACAATCCGCCCACCAGTTCCTCTGTCCCCACAACACTGGCAATATTTGACATTTTAACTAGTATAATGTGGTGTTCTCAGTGTTGTTTGAGCAATTCTCCATAGGTCTTAGTCTTTTGGGATTCCTTTTCTATAATCAGTCTGTTCTTTCTTTTGGCCACATTTCTGTTGAAGTTCTAGTCTTCTTATTCATTTACAGGAGATCTTTGTACATTTTAGACATTAGTCCATCAGTTTTTTCTTTAATTTTTTAAAAAGTATTTTTAAAATTAAAATTTTTCTAAACATTTTTATCTTATTATGTATTTACTTATTTTTTAATAGAGATAGGGTCTCACTCTGTCACCCAGGATGGAGTGCAGTGGCGAGATACCGCTTCACTGTAGTCTCAACCTCCTGAGCTCAAGTGATCCTCCCACCTCAGCTTCCCAAGTAGCTGGGACTACCGGCCTGCACCACCACACCCAGCTGATTTTTGTATTTTTTGTAGAGACAAGGTCTCGTCATGTTGCCCAGGCTGGTCTTGAACTCCTGGAGTCAAGCCATCCACTCACCTCAGCCTCCCAAAATGCTGGGATTACAGGTGTGAGTCACAATGCCCAGGCAGTCCATGAGTTTTAGATGTCACAAACTTCCCTCCCAATGTCACTGGTCTGTCACCTTTAACCAGGATAGGCCTTTGCTAAACATAAATGCTTACTTTTCATGTAATCAAAAAACTCTTTTTATTGTTTTAAGGCTAATGTTAAGGGGTTTATTTTAGAAGTCCTTTTCCAACTCTAGATCACAAAGATATTTTCTTAATATTTGTTTTCTATTAAACTGAAAGTCTTACCTTTCCCATGTAAATTGTGAATCTATCTGGATTCTAACTTTGTATGTGGAATTACAGAACAATCCAATTTTGTTTTTTTCCTCCAAATAGTAAACAGTTTTCTATCACAGACTAAAACAATATATCTTCTCCTCACTTGATTTTTGGTACCATCTTTGTATTATCAATGGTTTATACAATCATAAGTCTATCTCTATTCTGTTCCACTGGTCTGCTGGTCTGTTATTTTACCAATACCACACTATCTTTATTATTATGGTTTTGTATTTCCCCTTATCCAATAGGGGAAAAGCTCATACTTTACTGTTCTTATTTAAGGTTGTGAATCTTTGTGAAATCAAATGAATTTTAGATTGGCGTTACAGTGAATTTACAGATTAAAGAGAAATGGCTTTTTTTTTTTTTTGAGATGGAGTCTTACTCTGTCGCCCAGGCTAGAGTGCAGTGGCGCGATTTTGGCTCACTGCAGCCTCCGCCTCCCAGGTTCAAGCAATTCTCCTGCCTCAGCCTCCCAAGTAGCTGAGATTACAGGTGCCCGCCACCATGCCCAGCTAATTTTTTGTATTTTTAGTAGAGATGGGCCAGGCTGGTCTTAAACTCCTGACCTCGTGATCTGCCCGCCTCAGCCTCCCAAAGTGCTGAGATTACAGGTGTGAGCCACCACGCCTGGCTGAGAAGTGGCATCTTTTTAATAAGTCATTCCATCCAAGAGCATGGACTGTTTCTATTTTCAGATCATCTTCTGTTTCATTTATTAGTTTAAAAGTGGTTTTCATAGAAGAAATACATATTTCTGGTTAGTTCCTACACTCTAGTTTTTGTTGCTATTGAGAACATCTTATTTTTACTTTTATTTTCTAGTTGGTATTGCTAGTGTAGAGAAATTCTCTTGATTTGTGTTTATCTTGAATCATAACCCCCCAGTGAACTCTTATTTCTGTTTCTCTGTTAATTCTGTTATATTTCTAGTATAAGAGCACATTATCTACAAACAATGACATTGTTATCTCTTTCTTTACAATTTTTCTTTTTTCTCTTCTTACACCATTGGTTATGCTCTCTGGTATTCGACTGAACACAGTGATGAGATTAGGCATGCTTGTCTTAATCCCAGTTTTTAAATGAAATGCATCTGAAATTTCTCCAGTAAGTAAAGTGGTTTCCCTAGGTCTTAGTATATTACTTTCAACGCATTAAGGAAGTTCTCTTCCATTCCTTGTTTGCTGTTTCTAAAAATTGTAATAAACTTCAAATATTTTTCTACATTAATAGAGATATCCTTTTCCGATTATATTATTACTTTAGTGAATTACAATAGATCTTCTGTGTCTAATATGGACATTCCTGAGATAAACTTGCTTATGATGTATCATTTTGTTGTCTTTAATATCCTACTGGACCTCATACTCTAATATTTAATATTTTATTAAATATCTACATTCATACCTACATTCATCAACAATATTAGCCTATATTTTTCCTTTCTTGTATTGCCTTTATCTGGTTTTACAGTTCTCCTTGTTTCTTGCTTCTCTTATTGGGCAGATAAGAGAATATTTTTATTCTATAAATAATAAGTAGTAATACATGCTACAATGTTAGCTATCTCCAAATATTAACCTTTTTTGGAATAAATTAGGAGGTGACTTTATAACATATAATAAAAAGAACAAAACCAGACAGAGAACTCTGAGTACTAACTAGCATTGCATACTACCTGAGAAGTCTTCATTCTGGCATTTAATTTGCCTAAATTTAATTACACCATCTTTCCTTGAAGAATCAAGATACAGATACAAGAATGTAAGTCACCTGTTTAAGGCCACATAGCTAATTAATGGAGGAACTCTAAGCCAATCCTTCTGGTACCTAGCCCTAGCATTCCTACAAAAATGTATGTTAACAAATCCTAACTCTACCACCTCTAATTTGGTTAGTGATGGGTATATTCCATTTCAAGATAAAAGTAAATCAAGTGTTTCTTTCTCACCTACAACATACCCAAGAACCATGCTAAGTACTGTAATGAATTAAAAATTTCAATTAAAAATATTTAATAAATATTTATTTTGCTAGGCAAGAATCTGCAATATCTAAGGCTCTATCTGTTCTTGTAACACCCTAGTGTAACCCACAGATCTATTTTCCATGGAATTTAACAACTCACCTTTCCGACAAGCTGTACAATTTCTGCCAGGTCTTCTTCTTCCTGCAGAATTTCCTTAGCTTTGGTCCTCAGAGGAACGAACTCTGTGAAGTGTTTGTCATAGTATTCATCCAAGGCACGCATATACTTGCTGTAGCTGATGAGCCAATTGACAGAGGGGAAATGCTTACGCTGAGCTAGTTTCTTATCTAAGCCCCAGAACACCTGATTAAAAAAAAAACAAAACAAAACAGTAATTTTTCTTAAAAAACAAAGTTAAAAAAATTCTGAAGCATATTTGTCCTAACCATGCAATTTTTTTTTTCTTTGAGACAGTCTTACTCTATCACCCAGGCTGGAGTGCAGTGGCATGATCTCCGCTCACTACAGCCTCTCCCTCCTGAGTTCAAACAATTCTCCTGACTCAGCTTCACAAGTAGCTGGGATTACAGGCATGCGCCATCAGGCCTGGCTAATTTTTGTATTTTTAGTAGAGATGGGGTTTCACCACGTTGGCCAGGTTTATCTCGAACTCCTGACCTCATGTGATCCTTGGCCTGCCAAAGTGCTGGAATTACAGGCATGAGCCACCATGCCTGGCCCCTAAATATGCAATTCTATAATTCACTGGTCAAATTATACATCGTTTTAGTATATACTAAGTAAAATTAAGACAGAATAAAATTTGCAGAAAATGACAATAATCTATTTCCTTTTATTTTCAAAGTGGGTAATACCTACAAATCAAATTTAAAATTTACCTGTATTTTCTTAATAGTGTGTCAAATCCAACAGCAAAAAGAAAAATTAATTTACTCTTTTGAAAATTATTATGGTACAATAGAACCAGAAAAAGTTTATGTAGATGGAATACACACTTTACTTTGATTAAAAACCTCTAACTGGCCAGGCATGGTGGCTTACACCTGTAATCCTAGCGCTTTGGGAGGACGAGGCAGGTGGATCACCTGAAGTCAGGAGTTCGAGACCAGCTGGCCAACACGGTGAAACCCTGTCTCTATTAAAAATACAAAAAATTAGCCGGGTGTGGTGGCGGGTGCCTGTAATCCCACCTACTTGGGAGGCTGAGGCAGGAGAATCGCTTGAACCTGGAAGGTGGAGGTTGTAGTGGGCTAAGTTCGTGCCATTGCACTCCAGCCTGGGCAACAAGAACGAAACTCTGTATAAAAACAAAACAAAACAAAAATATCTAAGTGTTTCGATTAAATTTAGCTCCCTATCATTCACAGGGCCAATCCAATAACAACTGACAGTGATTTTTGTAAGGGCAAACATTCACAGATATTCCATGCATTTCTAACTCTAGCCCTCTTCCCCCAAAATTTGAAACTCAGAAGTTTAGCAAATGTTAAAGAGTTTGAGAGTTTTAAATTTAGCCTCCGCCCTTTCCTTTTATCTGATACTGTCATAAACACAAGTAAATATTCTGTTTTTCCCACATGAATAATACACATATATCACTTTTTTTTTTAAAACTATAGCTCTGATTTGTATACATCTTTTATTTGGGCTTCTTTTAATAGTCAAGCTGGCTACCTATCCACTAAAATTCATGTCTTGTCACTGGGAAGCAAATGCTTAGGCAGAAACTGCATTTTCCAGCCTGCTTTCACCTGGATGTGGCTAACAGAATGAGTGGAATGACTGTCACTTTTGAATCCAAGGTTCAAAAAAGGTGGGTATGCCTTCTCCTCAAGGCCTAGCTCACTTGTGTCAGCTAGATGCAGATGATCACCAGGCCAGGTGACAGTGGAGTCACAAGATGGAAGGAATCCTGGACTCAGAATTATTACTAAACAGAAGAGAGCCTTGGACCATACTGTGAAGAGAAATAACTTCTGGGTATTACACATTTTTGGGCTGCTTTGTTTCTATAACTAGGGTTACTATGACTTAAAGGATAGTATTACTCTAATACTAATCAAACCTTTGCTACCTAGATATATTTTCCACTTATATATTATTAAGTTTATTAAATATCCTACGTAAACAGCTAAGAAAAAAAACAGACAGTATTAAAGGCTCTGTGTTGAGAGTGTTTCTAAAACAGACTTTACCATTGCCTATAGTTTAGAGACTAAATTAAATAATTTACAATGATTACATTAGATCGCATTAGAACAGCAGGGGCTGCAGAGAGGAGGAAAGGCTCAGAAGTTGACTACACTAGGGAAAGACATACCTGAACGATACCAAGAGTGGCAGATGTAACTGGATCAGAAAAATCACCACCAGGTGGAGAAACTCTAAATTAAAAAAAAAATATGGTCATTACAAAAAAATACAGTCATTAGAAACGCTTATGAAAAATAACATATATACAAATGTTAAATTTTTTTGAAAGTCAATTTTAATGTAAACAACTTTTTAATGTAAATAACTTCAGAAATGACCTTTGGAAAGAAAATCTTACCTAAAAATCTTAAACAAAAGCCAGTATTTAAGTTGTAAATAAGAATGGAAACTACAGAACACTTTCTAGTATGAGACATGAGATAGATATTTTATTATAATCAATTTTATTATTCTAATCAAATAGATGAAGCAAGAAGGAAATGCTCCAAGAAAAAAAGTATGGCTTTACATAGTGATCATGAATCTTCACTTTCGTTTCACCAAGATGCAATCTCACCTTATTATGTCTATAATTTTCTAAATTACAAAAATTAAATAAGTATCTAAATTAAACATATATAAATTAAAGTCAAACCTATGGTACCTAGAACATGTAGAAATTGCCTAAACATATGCATCTTCAAAGAGCTCCTTAGGTGACTCTGGAGTGCAACCCTCCTTAAGAATCGCTGCTCCCAGTGGGAGCTAAATATTCTCTTTACAATAAGTGACTTTTTTTCTCTGTTTAATACATCTGTAACTTTTTTCCTTTTATAAAGTACATAGTTTGGGTGCTTACGCTCCTACAATGCTGACACTCCCTTCTCTTTCAGGATTTCCAAGACATTTCACCCTGCCTGCTCGTTCATAAAAAGAGGCCAGACGGGCACCAAGATAGGCTGGATATCCACTATCTGAAAAAGGAAAAGAAATTTTAAAACAGAGTTTCTAAGCCAGCCCTGAAAATCCTATCAGCCTTGTTTACATGATAAGCAATACACAGACTTACCTGCAGGCATTTCAGCTAAACGACCAGAGATTTCTCTAAGGGCCTCAGCCCATCTAGAGGTAGAGTCAGCCATCATACTGACATGATAGCCCATGTCACGGAAGTACTCGGACAGTGTGATTCCTAAATTGGGAAGAATATTATTATAAGTTACAAAGCTAGCATATAAAATCCTCGATCTTTCCACCCTTAAGAAAACTTTAAAGCAAAAAGCACACAACATAGATTGCTAACGGCTCCCTCAAAGCTGCTCTTCCTCTTTTTCTGGGCACACACTGAACTGTTTCCTAGCATCCTGTGCATTTAGATATAGCCAAGTAACTGATCTCTGGCTAAGAAAACTCAAGTCAAAATAATGTGTTCTATGGCCAGGCAAGTCACATACTCTTCCATACTCTTTCTTCCTTCTGGCCTACTGAAATGGAGAGAACTCCCAGTAGTCTTGGAAGGTGAAAATGGTAGAGTTCGTTTCAGCCTGGATCGTGGCCCAGGATGACAGAGTAAAGAGTCCCCTGAACACTTGAAATAAACATCTATTATACTGAGCAAATATACATTTGGAATTATTTGATGCCATAGCCTAGCTTACCCTAATATAATGCACATTTTAGAAAGCAGGAAATGACTTTCTCTATTTCTTGAAATAATTAAGTCTGAAATTAATTTTCAAATGTAGCTTCTCTATATATATCACATACACACACACAAGCATGTATGCATGCAAAAGTAACCCTTAACCAATCAGCTTGGGTGGTTACTTTTCAAAAGTAACAAATGTTATTAAAATGAGTAATATCTCAATTGTCCAGATTATTCTGCTATGCGGATCAGGTCCTATCCTGTAAATTTAGACAGTAAACCACTTATAAGCAGCTAATATACAGAAATGAGTGTTGGGTTCTAGTTCCTATTCTGTCATTAACCTTAGCAAAATAACTCGATCTCCCAGTGTGGCTTCCTAACCTATTAAAAATTGAATAATGCCTGCCCTATATACTTATATATAGCAGATGAAGTGAATTAAATAAATGTCATCTAAAAAGTACAAAGTGTTATGAAACTCTAAGATACTAGGAAAAATGTATAGTTATAAAAGCTCCAAAATCTAATGCCTTGGTTTCTTTATTTTACTGGTAAAGAAACAGAGGTTTATATAAGTAAAATTAACATAATTAATGGAAAATTCAGCACTTTACTATTTATCATATTGCATTCAGAATAAAAAATACTGACTGTTGAGGCATCCATAAAATGGTCTCATGAAGAAAGTCTTTAGGAAACATTATCAATATTAAGGCTTCAACAACACAATGATTACCACATATTCCAATCTAATAAGAACAGATCCTTTCTTATACAAGCACGCTGTGTTTTAAATCTGTGATGAAATGTCACAGATACTTGTGATATTAGAAAGAAATGGCAGAAAAGACAGATACACATGAGTAAGTGAGAATTCTGACAGACCTACAGGTTTCAGATAAAGCTTCTTCAAACTTGAAGGCACATCCTGAGGAGCAACAGTGCTTTGTTTGGAACACTGCAAAAAGCTACATGGCCAGTTGCAGGAGTTCCTTGTACCCAGTTTGGCATCAAAGAGAAGCAGGGAGATGGGGATGAATAAAACAAAAGTAGGTACTCCCTATTTTCACTAAGTGAAAAGTGAGTGAGGCAGAGGGGAAGAATTCACTGTGAATGGTCTTACAGCTGCTAATTTCTGGTATTAGGCAAGAAGAGTAAAATAGCTTTTTTACACAGCTGCATGCCATAGTAAACTTCACAAGTTACCATGAAGAATTCCTATTACCCAGGACACAGTCACAGCCACCCCTCCCATCTCCTACAAAGATGAGTAACAGTAATAATAAACATCGGTATACAATATCTAAACAAAGATAAAATAAGAAAAAAGACAGAAGAGAAGAATACAATGATGGTCAAATAACTTGCCAAAGAATAAATGAAAACTGTGACCACAGGTTAAAAAAAAAAAAAAA